GGGGAGGACCGGGGGCCACCTCCCACACTCTGCCCTGTCTCCTGTTGGAATGGACCCTGGGGGACGCCGGGATTTCCACACAGGTGCACTTTGAATTTACCCAGGATGTGCAGGGCCCTCGGGTCACAAAGACGGTGCCAGAAGGTGGGGGACACAGACGCTCTCTGCGGGGGCGTCTCTGACATGGCTCACTCCTGTCCTGGGACCTCTCCTCCTGCTCCACACGCTCCTGGCCCTGCCCCAGGCCCTGCCCAGCTATTCCAGGGGCTGCCCTTCGGCCTAAGCCCCAAGCTGGCCCTTGCTCTCCCACTAGGCTCCACCCACATGTGCAGCTGTCCAGCAGGGGTCAGCTGCGCAGAATGACTAGCATGGACCCCCACAGACAGACCAGCAACCTGGGAACCAGAAACGTCACCAGCCTAGAAAGCAGTGCCGCACACCCGTCCCCACGTGGACCTCCTCGCCATCGTGCCATATTTATGGAGGTCACTAAGGCCCAAGGGACATGGCTCTCCCCTGGACCTGGAGGAGCTCGGGGCTCTCCCCTGGACCTGGAGGAGTACGGAGCTCTCCCAGGGCAACTGCAGAAACAAGGGAAGATGCTGGTGGGATTGGAACAGCAGACTCTCCCAGACTCTCCCCTGATGGCCGGAAAGCAAGGGAACATTACTAGACACTTGAAGTGGGAGAAGGAACCATGTTCCCAAGGGGAGGAGAAGCTGCTGAGCCCAGACCCGACATGAACCCGATGTTGAGACCATCAGGTGGGGTTGGGGCAGTTAATGTGGCAATTACACCAACTGATGAAACAACACGTTTTCAATCAACAACAAATCCCACCAGAGTAACAGGAAGTCTTGGCCAATAGGAAAATAAGCATACAGATGGAAAACCCGCGAACATGTGATTTCTGAAATCACAAAATTCACACGAGGGACGTCAGGGGAAAGAGCGAACTTGGAAGAGGAAGGAATAGACTTGTGGGACGCTGTCAAGTGACCAGGCAGCTGTGACACTGGACCAGAGACAGGATGGGGCCCTGCCATCTCGAGACCCTTGCAGAAGCCCGGAGAAGTCAGAGAAAGGCACCGATGACTACCATGGGCCAGGTGGCCCCGGGCAGAGGGCAGGACTGGAGCTGGCCGACGGCACTGTCAGGAGCCCACTTTCAGCCCATCCCCTGCGCAGCTGGAAGCCTGTCCAGGGCAGGGCCTGGGCTTGCTGGGCACGCGTGGAGTCCCTCCATGCTCCACTTCGTGAGTCCCCACGGCCCCCACTGCCCTTCTCTAGCTTCCTCGGGGCCTTGAGACCGGCCTCTGATCACGCCACCGACGACCAACACAACGTGCCGTCTGTGCTCACCCCTGAAGCGCCTCCCAGATGACGGTGCCCGTGCAGGGGCACCGCTGGCTGCCCAGTGCCCTTGGAGATAGCCCACCTCCCCGCCTGGCACCCTCAGGGGGCTTTCCGGGCAGTCCCCCTCTGACCAGGTGGACCTCTTCCTTGGAGTGCAGACCCCAGGCCTCGGCTACAGCTGGACCGTCCAGCTGGATACTCAGGCCAGGGCCTGCCCAAGCCCACCTGCTCGGGGTCCTGGGGTTTTCTGGTGGGGGAGGCCCTGCCCTTCGCTGGCTCGGCCCTGCAGGTGTGGGTCTTCCCTCCAGCCCCGTTCCCCGCGCTGCCCCCAGTCTCTGCTGCCCCCCAGCAGGTCCTCCAGGGGCTCAACGGAGGCTGAGGGGCGCTGGCTGGCCCTGCCCCAGACACTGACCTTTGACCCTGTCTCCACGGTGAAGGGGGATCTCGCCATCGACTTGGGGTTGGTATGGCTTCACGACGACGAAGAGTCTCCCAGGCACCGCGCTGTAGAGCTTCCGCTTGGGCCCCGGGTACTCGAGGGCCGACAGGGAGTCCTTGCTGGCACCAGGAGCGAAGGGCGGCCTGCAGGGAAGAAGAAGGCAGGGGAGACGAGGTCAGAAAGCCACGCTCC